CTGGTGCTGGGTTTTGCCGTTTGTTCTCCCCTCCTGCCTGCAGATGTGCTTTGTCTTTCCCTTAAAAGCAGGCTCAGGGGCTGCGTTTGTAGGGTGTCGGCCACCGAAAGCGCTTTTCCCGGGGCGCTGCCGGCTGCGTCCCCGCTCCCTGCCGGGGGCTGAGCTCCGTGCCTGCCTCCCTGACCGTGTCTCCACCTTCGACGGCTGCCCCGGGTCCCTGCAGCACCGGCAGAAGCAGCGCATCGCACCTCCGTTGCACATTTGCCCGTTAATTACTTTCACCACAGAGAAACAATTTACCTGCATCGGCTGGTTAAGAAATGATAGTGAGATGCCAGGTAACCTCGGTGTATTATATGTTGTCTGGCTTAGGGGGAGCGCTCAGTAACCTCCCTTTTGTTTCCTCGCAGCACCTTTGCCGTTACAAAGCTTTCTGGACTGAGCCGAAGCCGGACTTTGCCCTGCAGCCGCTGCCCCCGCCGGGATAGTTGATGTTGCAGCCAAACCCCCGAGTACGAGTCGACTCCAACTCCTGGGTTGTGGGAGAGGACATCGCCCTTTAGATGAGGTACCTGGGGTCGTCATCTACCACCAGTGCTATCCCCAGGGGCGCCGGTGTCCTGGTCTCACCATCAACAAGGATTTCAGCCCTTCTCCTTTGGGGATGCTCCGTCCCTGGGTGCCCTTTCGGGAACATCTCAGCCACGCTCCGGCAGCTGCGACGCATCTCTCTGGACATAATGCCAGGTGGGGCAGCCCCCAACCAGACAGGAACCTTCCCTGCCTGCTGGCCCTGAGCTTCGGGACTCCCTCCACATTTTCGGGCTCTCCATCACATTCTCCAGGGGACGTAAGTCTCCTTCCTCCCCACAGAGAAAGGAGCCCTGAGCCGCATGTCCCACCCAGGGGAGCTCCCCACAGGCCTGGGGTCTCCACAGGGACGTCCTTGAGGCCACGAGCGCGTTGCCACTTGTAGGTCTGTCTCCTCGGTCCCCTCCGAGACCGTCCCCATGCCTCAGATCACGCACCAAAGCTGGGGAGACGGGTGCTTTTGCCGGGTTTGCGCTGCGCTGTGCCTGGTGCCGTGTTGGCCTCACGCAGAGGGCTTCCCGCCGTTCCTGCACCCCTCCGTAGCGAGAGCCGAGAAATTGCCCATCTCTTTGCCGCCGACCTCCTCCCTTCTGCTTTGCACAGCTGTTCCCGGGGTAGTGGTTCCCTCACAACATGCCCACCCCTCTGGGGTGGAAGGAGAAGGGTTGAAAGCGACGCCTTTGGTCCTGTTTACTGTGGTGTTTTCAGACCCACGGCTTTTTGTGATAAACAGCACCGGGGGGTGAAGGGAGCAGCGGGATTTCTGCGGGGCCGTGCCCACCCCCTGCACCAGCCGCCTTTGCCTTCCCTTTGGGAGAAGTTTTGAAGCTGGCCGTTGTAACTTTGAAGCGCACGGAACCTATACGAGCTGAGATCCCAAACGTAGGTTGATGTTTCCTTTTGCTGCTTTAGGACAGAATCTCCCGGGTTGAAGCATCGCGAACGTGTTTTCCTCTAAAACTTTCCGAGCAGGCCGGGGCCCCCTCCGCCACCGCCGGAGCAGATGTGCCTTGGCCGAGGCCCCGCACGCTGCCCTGGCTGCAGCATCCATCTGCCAGCCCTGGAAAAACCTCCGAGGCGACGGAGCCCTCGGTGCCTCCGGTCGGCTTTTGCCGGGTAAAGCGGGAGCTGGTGGGGTAACGGCTGGACGAGGTGACGGCCCGCGCTGCCGCGGGGATGGGACAGGGAGGTGAGCGTGTCCACGTGAAAACGCCCGCTGCGCATCGCCCGCTGCTCCCCGCGCCACTCGAAACACAGCCAACGCCTGCGGTTGTTAACTGCGCTGCTATGAAGCTCCCAGGTCAGCGAGGTTACTCGTATCTTTCAAGTATTTTGTTCAACACCAGAGCCAAACCCAGTAGATTCCTAAAAAAGCAACAATTTGGGTGGGATTTAGCAACCCTGAATTCCCCCTTTAAACAATGTCCCATGTGGGAGGTGACACCAACCTTTACCAAAGGGTTTCCAGTAAATTCTTTGTGGATTTTGTTGTTTGCAAGTATCATTTTTTTGAACCCAGATCCTGAGAAAATGTTTTACACCATCCCTCGCACCTGCGTGTCCCTTCGCAGCCGGAGGCTCTGCCGAGGCTGCTCTTCGGTTCGGGTACCGGACGAACGAGTCCATCGTGTTGCCCTCACGGGCCAAATCGGCTCCCTTTTGAATTGGTGAAAAATATACTCGGCGTTGCCGAGATCAGGTTTTGACCTTCATTTTGAAGAGGAGGAGCAGGATCTTAACCACTGGATTTATCTTCAAGCGCAGTGGAAAGCCCTGGCTCGAGGGAGGCAGGATCATCCCGGGGCCAGAGCAAAGCTCGGGGTCTGAGGGATTTCCCTTCCCTTCGCGCAGGGGAAGGTCAAAAGTACAATTTAGGACACTTTTCATAAGCGATCGTGCTCCCGACGTGGCAGCTGAGGATGAGATGTTTCAGCAGTGACTCAGAGGAAGAAGGTAAATAAACATTTTTTATTTCAAACGCAGGGTTAAATTCCTTCATGTCTGGATCATTCAAGGTAAAGCTCCTGTAATCTCCTGGTTGCGATCCGCAGCCCCTCGTCTGGCAGCTGCCGGACCCGGTGCGCCCGGCGTGGGAGCGGTTGGGACGGCGAAGGGAGGTGGCAGAAGCGGGCAAGAGACGGCCGGGAGCAGAGCTGGGCACCAGGGCTGCCGCTCCGTTAGCTCGTGAAGGAGCTGGTGTCCTCGCCGTTAGCGCCTGAAGGAGCTGGTGTGGATCATCTCCAGGACAGGGAAATTGTCCTGGGAATTCAGCGACTGAAGCTGAAGGAGCTGAGATTTTACCTCAACTGCTTCGCAAGGAGGAGGCTGAGAACAACACTGTGAAAAATGCAGTTGTGATAAGGAAAACCCCAACGCAAAGCCACTACGTCGGTATTTGTACACATTTTTGCCTGCTCCAGAGAACCCCGTTTCATACCAACCTCTCCTCTGCACTGCAAAATGTCTCTAGCAACTACACGCTCCTGCTCCCACCGTGTGCTAAAAACCCTCTCTGCTGATCACAGGGGACAAAAACCAAACCGGGATCATTCCTGGAAGCTTCCCCTGCAGTTCTGCGACTTCCCGAGCAGGCAGCAAGGGCAGACGTGCGGCAGAAGCATCACCGAGGGCCCGGTGCCGGCTGCTGGGCTGAGCTGCAGGGCAAAGCCTCCGCCGTCAGCATCCCCGGCCTGGCCAGCCTGACTCGAGAAGGGCTGCGGTTCTCCGGCACGGTGTCGGCAGCC